AAATATTTTTGTTTTCCTTCACCACAGCCTTGGGGCTGGGCACTCGGCTATCGCGACCCTCTTCTACAAACAGTTTGGTCACACACAACGCTTCCCGCCTTTCTTCCCGAGTAGCGTCTTGTCCCAACCTACTGCCTTCTCCGTACGACTTCCACCTTGCCCAAATGTCAGCATACACGGCGCCGCAGTCGTTGTAGGCAGCCAAAGCAAGCGCAACCATCACACCATCCGCCTCAACAAGGGAATGACCTTGGAATGAGGAGACGCTCTTGTGACGTTGTTCAACTCTCATCCCCTTCTCCATCAGCGAGCACTGAAGTTACCCTGTTAGAAAAGTTCCACCTCCTTCGACTCAGTCCCCTCCACAATTTCACAGCACGCAGAGGAGCAGCAGCACCGAAAAAGAAAACAGGTGCCGGTACATGTTGGGCATGTGTTGCTGCTCACTCTCTCGTTTTCCTCCTTGTGGGGTGATCCGCTCGGGCCGCAACGGTTGTGTGTGTGTGTTGCTACTGGTGGGGAGTGCAGAGCCCTCAAAGCACACAGCAGCGAGTAGCGTTTAATATCTCTACTCTGCGTGTGCGTGTGCGTGTGTGGGGAGGGGGTGGGGAGAAAAAACGAACAGAAAAAACAACAAGCGACAATACAAAAAGCATTGGGGACGCGCAGTCGCCCAGCAGCAAGACGCACGCCACAAACATCTGCGTCCTTCACACAGGAAAAATAAAACGCAAAAAAGGGAGAGACACAACTGCCCAGCCACCTCGGCGTGGTGCCAGGGTTTCAGTACCTCGCAAAGGGGGAAGCCAGTGGTCAGCCGTTGGTGTCTTTGACTTGTTGTTGGTTTGCGGTAACGGCGGCGAGCGCTGAGTGGTGCCGTGCTCAGGAAGTCTGGGACAAAAATGGTAGATTTCCCGCCCAACAGATGCACCTGCCGATGTGTAGCGACATCTCACACTGACAATTCATCAGTGGCGGCTTCTGCAACCGTGCAGGGTGTGGAATTGAGTCCGGGCCCGGGCCTGCGGGTCGCCCAGTGAAACGCTGGCGGGCCCAAGCAGGAAAAGTAGATTCTCATGGAGATTAAGGTGGAGGAAAGGCGGGCTTCAGCGCGCGCTCCGTTTGAGGAGACGACTTCACTGTGAATGAGTGCGAGTGTTTTTGTTTGCGGGCCTGGTGTCACTGGAGCGGAAGCTGTAAGGGTGGCTGGAGGCTCACTTGCGGCGATGCCTGCGGTGCGGCTTTGCGGCAACTGATGGAAAAACACATCGCGGGCACATGTCGACGGGAGGTGCGATTGGGCAGCCCCCGGCACTGGGCGGAGCCTGGGAGGCTCTGGGCGCACCGCACGCAAGGACCCCCCAACGCCGCTGACAGCGCCCAGGCCGCCGCTACGAGAGCGAGTTAATTAGGGCGCCCCCGACCTCAGGTGCCGGACCTTTGGAAAGCGTAGCAGAACGCGGCACCACCTGCGCCGAGGCACCTGGCGCTGAGACGGCCAACGTGTAGGATGGTCCCCCGTCAAGGCCGGGTCCCGCATTGGCAATGCGGTCGCCTGCGGTGCCCGCGCTGGCCCAGCACATGTCCTCTCACTCAGTTGGTTACGCGTACGCAGTCGTGAAGAGCATCCTGGCCGTTCTTCGCCCCGCCCTCCGCCCGCAGAGCGACTGCAGAATATTCGCCACTTTCGGTGTTGCTGGGGACCCACGGCGCCTCAAATGCCTTTATTACCTGCGGGTGCGTCGCGTGCTCGGTGGGGGCGGGGGGGCTGCCCAAGCGGTTCCTCTGCAGCTCGTTCGGTCTTCCAAGCCCCCGCTCCGCCCCGGCCAGCAACGATATAGATGGTGGCGCTGGCCCGCCGGATGGGGAGCGCCCCCGGTCCTCGGCTTTACTGAACTTTCTCGTTTTGCTTCGGCTTCTTCCGCTTCTTCCGCAGTCTCGCCGTTAGCAAGTGATGCCCCAAAAATCGCGCCTCGCACCTCCTCCGCCCACAACGCCGTTCCGAGGGGAGACGACTCCGGCGAGGGAGTTCGGTTTCAGCCCCCGTCCCCACCCAGGAAGGGGAAGATGACGCAACTGAACCCCGGGAAGGGCGATGGAGCCACGCGTGCGGAGGTAGAATGGTTATGTTTGCAGAGAAAAATAAGGCGCCTCCAAGAGCTTCCTTCGGCGGGCGTGGACGATGTGGCCTCGCCGACGGAGGCCACTTCCTCCTCCGGAAACTCGAAGTGGCGCCCCCCATTCGCGAGCAACCACGGGCCCTGCGTCTCGGCAGGGCCACGTATGTCGGGTGCC